CGGCAATGATGATGACGGCACATACGTACATTTGGCGAGGCATGGGGGCAGAGTTGGTTTGACCGTACGTCACCACGGCGGTCACCGTGGGTTGGTGGTGAATGGGTGGAGGGGGGGGCCAAGGAACAAATCTTACACGGCTCTCTCTCCGACGACATGAGCCCTGGCCAAGATGCAAACTCTGGCGGTCAGGTGCAGAGGGTGCGGAGCGATAGTCGACGCGCCAAGTGTCGGGGCATTTTTTTGCGGCTGCAGTTGCTGCAGTTGGCTTCCCGTTTTGTGTTTGGATAAACGGAACAGCCCCATCGCCCGTCCGTCTGTTCGGTCCGTGCCATTACTGTGCAATCATCATAATCATGGTCAGCCATGGTCAGGCCATTGCCGGTTAAAGGTTTCCTCAAGCAGTTGCCAGTACTCTTGAAGGTGTCGTAGATAAGAGTCGATACGTTTCCTGAATTGAACCAAGGTCGTCGTAGGAGCTTGCGGTGAGAGACGGTCAAGGGAGCAGTGGGAGGTAATGAGCAGAAAGAGAAGCGTTGTGAGCTGCAGTGTGACCCAGTGGGTGGGTGAGTGGGTGAGTGAGTCGGTGGATGAGTCGAGTGAGTGAGTGGGGTGAGAGGGTGGACGAGTGAGAGTGAGTGTGTTGTTGTGACCTGCGGGTTCAGTGAGTGAGTGGGTGAGTGAATGTGTGTGTGTACGTTGAACTTCTTTCGCACCGTACGTAGCCAACCGTGCTAATCGGAGGTGCGGGGAGAAGGACAACAAACTAAACACAACAATCAGTTCTAAAGAAATTACTTTTCCCATTTCCAGTGGGCTTCCTAACATCGGAAGGAAGAGCGTTCCAGACGGCCGCAGAAGCGCGTCCGAAAGCGCCGCGCGATGCGGCGACCAGCGTCTTTCTTCGACGGATAGCCAAAATGCCGCCGCTGCGAGGATGACCGGGGTTCACGTGATGATGGTGACCACTACCGTGATCAATCGACAGGTGTTGTGTAGGTGTTGTGGTGCATTAGTGGCAAGCACGCTGTATTCAAGATGAGTGCGAATACATGCGTATGTCTGGGAGACTGAGCTCCTGGACATGTGGAATTCTGAGCTCGGGGTCCGCTCATGGAAGGGGTCTGGAGCCGTCGTAATTATATCGGAATAATAATAATGCCACTTGTCTCCATGTCGCATTACTCCCCATTCTCCCAACACCCCGCCGCCATCCCCACCCCCCCCCCCACCTTTGGCAGCCGCTCGCAGAATAGCAGCCCCTTTGAGACGCGGGGCTTTAACTCGGCGACACGGATGGTCATTAAGCAGCGCGGCGCGGTAAACCGTGCTCAAGCATGCAGGAAACTGCGAGGAATTAGAGGGAGTCATTTATGCCGCTCGTCCTCAAAAGCTTCGGGGTTAGGCTTCCGCAACGGGGCGCGTGGACCCACTCCCTACTCCCCCCCCACCGCCCCACCCCCCCACCCCCCACCTCCCTCAGCGGCTCTGGGAAAGGAACACGCACTTCCCAATCCAGACCAGGGTTTGATGGCGTCCGGGATTTTTTTTTTTCGCGCAAAAAGGTGCCCCCATGTCTTCCGTTGCCCTGGCCGGGTTAAAAGTAAAAGGCCGCACAAGCTCACCGCTCCCCCCCCCCACCCCTTCCCCCCCTCCCTAAATCGGGTTGCTCGTGCCGCTAGCCTGGCGAGAAGGGCGTCCGCTCTCTTCCCACGCTGGCGCCTCTGATCAGCACGGTCGGCTACGTACCAACTGCGTACACACACCGCGGAGGAGGTGGGGGTACCCACACTTTAGCCCCCCCCCCCCACCGCACGTGACCCGCCGATTGACTGTCGCGTACCCATTTAGACTGCTTTGGGATGCAATCGGCGGAGGCGGTGGTGCGGCGTGGTGGGAGGGGGCACGTGGGCGCGGATTTAATAAACTCGCTCCTGCTGTTTGAACTGCCACTCCGGGAAATCGAATCGAGCCTGCGACCTCGGGATCGCATGCCCAGCGTGTTGACCGCTGCACCGTGGCAGTGGTGGCAGCGGCGGCGGCGTTGTTTGCCGTGAAAGACGAGGGCAGTTTTAGCGCCAGCGATCGTTGCCGAGGAGGCTTTTGCACTCGCCCTGAGATGCGCGGACAGGCGTGCACGGCAGTGGCGCGGAATGGCATGGTTCTGTCTGTAAAATCAATTGAATTGTATAGTGTGGCAGCAGCTACTCAACCACCGCCTGGAACGGTGAAAGCCCAATTAGCCCTCGAGCAACAATGTTTTTTCACTTAATGCGGCGGCACTCTTTCAGGAATGCATCTGCCGCGTCAAACGAGGGCTTTACTGTAACTGCCCTTTCTCTCCCTTGGTTTTCTATTGCTCGTCGATCTTTCTTTTGGTTCTTTTCTCCTCTTTCTCTCTCTCTTCCCCCCGAGAATCTCAGCTCGGGAGGTGCGCGCCCGTAGTTTTGTCGTTTGCCAGCCCAGGGGCCGCCTTCCGTAATCCGGGCGCTGTTTAACCTCCGTGTTGTTGTCGAAATATTGTTATCTTTTATTCACGCTCTCGCGACAACATCGCCAGCCGCTTCGGCGGGCGGGCGGCGGCTGTCGGCGGCTGGCAGCGCTACAGAGACGCGGCTCGCGCACCGAGACATTCGCTATTAGCTCCGCGCCGGCGTTGATTGGCGAGCGCGACGCGTCCGCAGGTGGCGGCGTTATCTCGGAGCCGGCGCGCGACCGTCGTGGAAGGGGGTGGCCCCCTCGTCACAATGGGCCGTCGTGATTAAAGACGCTTCTCTCCTCCAACCCCCCCCTCCCCGCCTCCCCCACCACCTCCCCCGCCTCCGCGTTTTGTTCTCCCTCGCCCCGACGAGCGAGCGCCGGATCGTGAGTGAGATTACCGCGGGACGCCCGGTGAAATCATCCGCGACGCGCGTCCGATGAATTTTTTTTTTCCGTGGGGAACGGCGGTTTCGCGCGCCGGTGGGATTTTATTGCGTTATCTTCGGCTTCTTCGTGCGTTTTTCTCTGTTTGGGTGGCGCAGTGGTTCACACGCACGCGCACACACACGCGCGCGCACGCGCGCGCCGTGTGACAATTTCGGGCGAGTCTTGTTTGGCTCCTGCGCGACATCAATGGGTTCAAAAAATGTCTCCACGATAAACTCTCTCTCTCGATCCGCGAGGGTTACGTTCTGGACAACGCTCGTGAATCCAGAACTCTCACGCGTCAGCGAAGGTTTACCGCGTAGATTTGTTTTCTGCCCGGTAAAGCTCTCCCCGGGTAAATATGAAGGGCATCGTTTGTCATATCTTTCCTGGATCGTAAGTTCCATCGGCTGGGAAGGAGGTTTGCCACTTTGCAACACTCGGCCGGCCTCCCTTGTACGAGCGGCTGTCGATCGTACGTCGTACGGCAGGATCGCGAGCGTGCCGCTTTGCAAAATCCGTGGCGCGCGTCTTTCGAGCGCGCTCTGAACGTGCGTGTGGGTGGTCGGCGATCGGAGGGAATGGGGCCCAGGGCCGGTTCAGGCATCACTCGGCGGCCGTTTTGGCTTTGAAGGGGAATCGAACTCGGGTCTACCGGGTTCAAAACACAACAGCCGTGCCACCGACTCGTCCTTTTCGATTTGCGAGTGTTTGTGTCACCTTCATAGGCGCACAGCACTTGCCCCAGCGGTCTGTTTAGGCTATACGGGTGGGGGGGGGGCGTGGGTAAATCTTTGTCTTTGTTAGACTAAAATCATAGAGCCTACTTACACCCTGCACCCAACTTTTGGGTTCGCGTGCTGTCTTTCGTTGACGACCGTTAAATACCTCGCCTGTTAGTTGCTCAGCGTTCCTTCAGGACCCCGGCTCGACTCGTTCTCTGCGACACAGCGCTTGACGTTTTGCTTGTTTGTTTATCTCTGATGTTGTTGTTGTTGTGCTCACGCGCCGCTGATCATCCTCCCTCGTAAAATAGCCGGGCACGCTCGCTACAAACGGGATCATTGTCCGTGCAGCGAATGCAATGAGCTCAGTGTAACGAGTAGGCTTTCGCGACAAATATTATCCACGATCGGTGATGTCGCGTGAATATATAAATGTGTGTCGTTAAACCCGCTGCCACCCGACGCAGCCAATTAGTAAGGTTTGTCACGTGAACAAAGCGTGCACGCCGCTTGTGTGTTGAATACACAAACACTTGCACCACATTGGGTCACAGGTGATGGCATTACATCTGTCCCTCTACTTAAGAGAACGAAACAGGAGGACTTTTCCAGCAAATCTCGCTGTCGGCCTGATGAGGCTGCTTGTAATTACCGGCGAAACGTCGTTCTCGACTTGTGAATATTGTGGCGGTGTGTTTGCTCTCGCAACACACTGGGTGTGCTGTGCCCGTGACGGATTGGCCACGTTCTGTTCACGTGACACAAACCTTACTAGTTGGCTGTGTCGCTTGGTGGCGGGTTTCACGCCGCATTGATATACTCGCGCGATCTAACCCAAAACAACCTCTGTTATGGAAAATAAACCCAACACTCGAATTCTAGAATTGAAGCTTTCGTGACTGCAAGTATTCATATTTTTAGATTTTTCGGTAAAGTCACGTAGGTAAAAAAATTACAATTAATAAAAGTTAAATAAAAATAAAATTAAAATTAATAAAAGTAAATTAAAAATAAAATATTTTATTTTAAAATTTAAATTAATAAAAGTAAACTAAAAATAAAATAAAATATTTTATTTTATTTTTATTTTACTTTTATTAATTTTAATTTTTTACCTACGTGACTTTACCGAAAAAACCTAAAAATACCAACACTCGAACTCTACCGGGGTCCTCTCGTGCTCCCGTGTGTGGAGGCCGTTCCCGGCCTTCACCTTCTGCGAAGAAGCCAGCGGCGGGCGGCGCTCGCGACCCGCTCCGCTAACCCCACGCGTGGTGCTGGCTGCTTCCTCCCCCGCTGATGCCGCCCCCCCCCTCCCCCAATCACAAACCCGCACCCCCTACCCCCCCCCGCGCACTACCGATGCAGAACCTGATGTCATGCGTCGACCTGAGCGCTGAGGTCGTGTTCGACGGTGGCCTCCAGCGGCTGTACGGCGAGGTGGCGTCTACACGTCGCGCGGCCCGCAAGAGGAAACCCTCCAGCACCCCCGGTGAGCTCGGCCTGGCGAGCGTGGCGAGCGTGCACATTGCAGTGTCTCGTGGGGCGAGCGCTGCTAGCGCGCGCTGGTGCTACTAATCACCCGGCGGGCCCGAGTTCGATTCCCACTCACAGCCCCAACATCGATGACGGACGATTGAACCGGGCCTCCCCACAAGTCCACTCGGCCTTCGTCCTGGCGCGGTGTGTAAACATCACCGCTCGGGGAGACAAAGGCGGACCCCGATGCGGTGCTCGCCGCCCACCGTCTCGTGTGCAGTATGCAGGCCTCAACAGGCGCTCGCTAACAGCACTGTCTGTTAAGGCTGTCGGGAGGAATCTTTGTCTTCGTGTGTTCTTAAATCCGCTAAACACATCTGCTCATGAGTGCATCCAGGTGAGCTTGTATTGACGTGCGGGCGGAACGGTAGTGGAGCGGTTTAGCGTTGCCGCGCTACGATACCCGGTGGCACGAATTTGTATTCCCGCTCACGACCATCAACGGTGGCGAACGTCTGAACTGGGCCTGGGCCTTCCCCAGGTCGACTCGGCCCACAATGAGTAACCCGGTGCGGCGTGTCAACGTCGTCGGCGCTGGGGAGACAAAGGTGGCCGGGCTTGGTTGTCGGTCGCCCACCGTCTGGTGTGTCGTCACGGCCTTAACAGGCGCTCGCTTACCGGCTATCCGGGGGATCGTCGCCTTCACGCAGTGTCAGGAGTTGCCCGGGGCCTCCAAGTGGGGCGCTCGTAACTTAATCGAAAAGTGATTTATCGGCCAAATTGACCCCGCAAAGCCGGCAAGCGGGATTCTTTGAGGGTCCACCGGGGCGGCCGCTACCGCCCCGAGCCTCCGTCGGCGGGCGACCGAGCCGGTGTCAGTGGCCGGCATCGGTGGCCGCCGTCTTGCCGCCCAGCCGAGCTTCGCGTGTCGAGCGTTCCGGCCCTCCTTTGCCCCGCCGTGACGTCGCGTGCAGAGGAGGAGTCCGCCACGGGGGGCCACGGAGCGGACGGCGTCACCGTGGAGGAGCCGGGGGACGCGGCCGAGAGGCGGGCAGCAGCGGCCCCGCTGCAGGCCGCCACCGCGGCGCCGCACACCTCCCAGGTAGGGAGATCGCTGCCCCCACCCACCGCCGCCGGGGCTATCATCGTCGCCGCCCCCCCGATTGGCCGATTGGCACGGTGTTCGGCCTGCAATACGTGACCCTCGCCTCCTTTACCCTGCCCCCGTTCGCCGTACACGTGTGCATACGGCCCCTCCTATGTCGATCCACTGCTGGATGAGGGAGCGTGTGTCCCCTCCCCCCGTTTGACCGTACTTCGCCACGGCGGTCGGTGAAGGCGGTGAGCGTAGCCCTGCGAGTGTAGGAGTACAGTACAACATTGGGGTTTCTTTTTCTGCGGAGTTCCCTGTGTCCACCATATGGCCCCCGTGTTGTTGTAGCCCATGACGTCTGTCATGACGTCTGTCATGGGCTACAGCACTATCCAGGCTCAAGTCGGCTTAGCTTCTGAGGGATGGCGAGATGGGATGCATTGTGGGTGATTTGCCCATCGGTTGCTCGATGTTTTCTGCTCTCAGAGGCTAAGCTGCTGCTGAGCCGAGTCGGCACTTGGATGGGAGACCGCCTGAGAGTGCCAGGTGTTATAGGCTTGGAGATGGCAGCAGTAGATTCAAGAATCCGGCAATGGATTCTTGAATCTATCCGTAGAGCGCCAGCAGGGGGCGATGTTGCTCTGTAGTTTTCCCAAACTGAGTACGGTGATGCACCGCGATTGACGTCCCCCCCCCCCCCCCCCCCCATTTCACGTCGTTCCGCAAACACGTCGTCGCTTTATCATGAACGCCGCCACCCGATTTGCGTCTCCTCCACCCCCCCCCCCACGCTCACGCCCGCTGACAGCGTCGGCCCGTCCTTTCGCCGTTAGCCGTCGCCCCTCAGCCTTTCGCCTCCACCACCCACTACGACTGCTGCCCTGTAAATCCCTTCGGAATTTTCGTCGTTTCGATATTTCTTGCAGAAACGCATCCCCGATGTAAACCGGGGGTGGGGGGGTATTTCTTTGAATTGGCGAGCGTCACCGTTTCGAATTTGGACCGCGACAACGCCGGCACGCAACGGCCCTACCTTCTCGTTCGCGAATAACATCGTGGGATCTTTAACCCTCGGCTGTGGAGCGAATAGGCGCGTGTTAACCAGGGGGTGGCCGTTGGGTTCGAACCGTGGAAACCTCTGCTGACGTCCGGCAAACGCTTCTGCTGTTCCGCCGTGCACACGGCTCCGTCGTCAAGGGGCATAAACCATCATCACGCAAACTCGCCCGATCATCCTCGCGGCAGCAGCTTCTGGCTGGCCATCTAAAAAAGACGGTCACTGCATCGCGTAGCGCTTTCGGATGCGCTTCTGCGGCCGTCTGGAACGCTTTTCCGATATGAGAGAGCCACTGGGAGCTGTGCACTTTGCAATCGTCCAGATCTAAAACTAATTTCTTTAGAACTGCTTCTCGTGTTTAGTTTGCTGTCCTTCCCCCGCACCTCCAAGTAGCACGGTTGGTTACGTACGGCGGGAAAGAGGCTCAACGTGCGTACGTACGTTGCGACGAACGCTGTGCGCGAGCCGCTGTTTAAAATGAGTCGCTTAATTTTCGATCGCGGTCGTCGTTGTTTTTTTGTTGTTGTTTCTCCCCTTCCCCTCTCCCCCCTTTCCCCTGCCCACCGCGGCATGAAACCAAATTAAACGCGAAATCCGCCGTTCCGAATGGAGCGCGACAAAAAAATGTAACCCGTCGCTCCCCGCTGTGTGCGTGTCCCGCAGAAGGAGCGATGCCGCGCGCCGCGCAAGGCCACGCCGAAAAAGAAAGCCAAGGGACTCTTGAGATGAGTTTGCCAATTAACGACGATGGGGTGTTTTTTCTTAACGGCACGTGAAGCACGTGGAGGGATGGGGGCGGGGGGGGTGGTGGTGGAACATGAAGTTTTAATCGCTTGCTACTTTTATCTTCTTAAATTACCCGGGGGGGGGTATTTATATACGGATGTATTTATTTTTTAATATCCGCCGGTGAATCTGTACGAATTTTATCCGCGGCCGGATTTTTCCGCGGGATTCGCCGACGCTGCCCCCACTGCCCCTGCCGTGCGTCGAGAAGCGATCGCGCGAGCGTACCCACAACGCAGATCGTTTCTTTTTCGTTTAAGCGCACGCACGATTTGAATCAAGGTTCACATTTTAATAAAGGCTCACATTTTAACAGCGCAGGGGAGGCGTGTGTTTTGTGTGCGTATATTGTGAATGTGTTTGCCCGATGTTGATAAAGCGGACTGATTATTTTAAAAAAAGAAACTGAATTTATTTCACGACTTTCCGATGTGCTACCTCCCTCGCCTCATATGCCGGAGGTCGTGGGTTCGATCCCGAATAAGTCAACACGCGTTTAGAGTATATGGCCGCTATATATTTCCACGTGATAAGCCACTTCGTTGAGCTATCATTTGTGGCCAGGTCGCTCCTGAAAAAGAGCCGTATAGCTCAGTGGGCCTTACCTGGTAAAATGTAAATATAATTTACTATTTATTCGATCAATATGAGTTCCCCCAAAGGAGCTTCCCAAGCACGTGGCGAAACATCGGACATTATAACTATAATTGTGCATAACTCAGACTCACCGATAGCATCATCGTGGAGACTGTAAACACCGCCTGATATCGGAGACATTGTCTGCTTGTTCTGTCATAGCTGCAGGGATAATTGTGTTTTAAGTTGGTAATTCGTGATGTATGTACACTGCATGTTGCACCTTTTTTTCTTCTTCGTGCGGTTAAATTACATTTTTATTCTCCCGTTTGAACAGGCGCGTGGGCGTTGCACAATAGGCGAGTTCAATGAACAAGGAAAATCTACCGATATAATTAACTTCAATTTTCAGAATCTTTATTTTATCGCGGAGGTATCTGATAATCTTATCAAGCTGTTTTTAAATCCTTTATATTAAGTTTGCTTGCTTGCTTAGGACCGTGCAAATCTTTCGGTCGTTTTTTAACCCACTTCCCGTGATCCAATCGAGCTGACATTTTGCACACAGACTCGTTGTGCGAGACAATTAATGTTCGTGAAAAAATGTTCCCAAAATTGTACACTTTTTAGGACAAAAATATTATATTTAATTACCAATTGCCTAATGGTGCAATGCAATCATCTGACCCATAGGTGGCAGCCATCTCAAGCCAGAGGACGAGAGGACTCTAGCCGCCACGCATATAAAGGATTTAGAGTGAAAAACTTTGTTTTTACGGGTTATACTTATTTTCCCAGCTGCCCAGTCGGGGATGGTCAGCGATGTTACGTCAACAAACAATACCAGAAAGGATACAGGGGCGAGATGGAGAAAGGGTTAAGTTCACCGATTAAATAAGTAAATATAAATAAAGCGTGGAAGTGCAGATTGCACTCGTGCATAAATATTTCCTGCGGATTTGTCAACACCAAACGCGAGCTTAAACAACGAAAGCAAAAAAAACGTTTTATTTAACCAGGTAAGGTACCCCACTAAGCTATGATAGCTCGACATTGTGGCTTATCACGTGGGAAATTGAGAGCAGCACAAATACTCTCAAGAAATGTTTCTAAATTTTAAGGGAAAACCCGCAGGACCCGGAGCTAAATCCCCGCGACCACGGGGAGAGAGACGCAAACTCCAACATATACAGGCGTTGCTGTGGGTCCAGATTGAAGCCGCGTGACCTCCTGCATACCAGGCGAGGTAGTTGACATCTCCTAGCCACCGTGGCGACCTTGGGCAATGCAGAAAAACAAAAAACAATCCCAATACCACACCTAGCCGACACAGTCACTCGATTACGTTCCACTTCAAATTTTAACTCTCGATTCCATGGGCAAGGTTCATAGTTTCAAGTCACAGTTGCGAATGTCCCTGTATCTGGTTTTCTTTTTTTTGGGAGGAAGATTTAACGATGAGGTTGTTCCCGAAGCTTTACAACAGGAGGTGACACTCGGCCACGGAATTCCCTTTGGTCGCAGTGACCCTCGGTTAAACTAACAAGAGTACACGGATACTCTTTGGTTCTTTCGGTAAAGTCACGTAGGTATAAAAATAAAAATAAATTCTTTTTTTGTTTATTTTTCTACCTACGTGACTTTACCGAAAGAACCAAAGAGTATGGATTCTTGCAGTCACGACAGCTTCAAATCACGATTGAAGAGTACACGAGATCAAATGAGAGCAGTCGAGAGCGAAAAGGAATGGCACGCGTTAAATTGGATGGGGTTTCTTTTTTTATTGCACCTTTCTTGACCCCGTCGCCCCTACTGGGGATGTGTGACAAAGAGCTTCATAGCTCGTCGGCTTTCTCGGAACCATTAGACATAGTCGAGTGACTAATTGTACTCGTCATGCCTCTGTGTGTGTCAGTGTGTGTGTGTCAGCGTGTGTGTGTCAGTGTGTGTTTGTCAGCGTGTGTGTGTCAGCGTGTGTTTGTCAGTGTGTGTGTCAGCGTGTGTGTGTCAGCGTGTGTGTGTCAGTGTGTGTGTGTCAGTGTGTGTGTCTCAGCGTGTGTGTGTCAGCGTGTGTGTCAGTGTGTGTGTGTGTGTGTCAGCGTGTGTGTGTCAGCGTGTCTGTGTCAGTGTGTGTGTGTCAGCGTGTCTGTGTCAGTGTGTGTGTCTCAGCGTGTGCGTGTGTGTGTGTGTCAGTGTGTGTGTGTGTCAGCGTGTGTGTGTCAGCGTGTGTGTCTCAGCGTGTGTGTCAGCGTGTGTGTGTCAGCGTGTGTGTGTCAGCGTGTGTGTGTCAGCGTGTGTGTGTGTCAGCGTGTGTGTGTCAGCGTGTGTTTGTCAGCGTGTGTGTGTCAGCGTGTGTGTGTGTCAGCGGTAGTGTAGCGGTTAGCGCGCTGCGCTATGAACCTGGCGACCCGGGTTCGATTCCCGCTCACGGCTAACACCAGTGACGATTATCTGAACCGGTCCTGGGCCTCCCCTAGGTCGACTCAGCCTTAAATGAGTACCTGGTGCGGTGTGTAAACATCGCCACTAGGGAGACAAAGGCGGTCGGGCGTGGTGCTGGCCACCCACCCCCTCGTGTACCGTTCCGGCCTTCATAGGTGCTCGCTAGCAGCACTTGCCCCTACAGTCTGTTCAGGCTATACGGGGGATCTTTGTCTTTGTTGTGTGTGTCAGCGTGTGTGTGTCAGCGTGTGTGTGTCAGCGTGTGTGTGTGTGCTCACTAACAGTGGGGAGCGGTGGTGCAGCGGTTAGCGCTACGCTGCGCTATGAACCCGGCGGCCCGAGTTCGATTCCCGCTCGCGGCCAACGCCGGTGACGAATATCTGAACCGTTCCTGGGCCTCCGCTAGGTCGATTCAGCCTCAAATGAGTACCTGGTGAAGTATCAAAACATCGCCACTGGGGAGACAAAGGCGGCCGGGCGTGATGCTAGCCACCCACCCCCTCGTGTGCCGTGTCAGTCTTCATAGGTGCTCGCTAACAGTCTGTTACAGGCTACACGGGGGATCTTTGTGTGTCACTGTGTATGAGTGTGTCAAGGTGTGTGCGTGTCAGCACTGTACTCTTATGTGTTTCGGTGTGCGGGGGGGGGGAGTGTGCACAGTACACTATACAATTATAAACATACAATAGAACAATTCAACTTACAACAAAACATTGTTGCAGGGAACAGCTGTAAACCAGGAAGCTAAAAGGGGATGTTTGTGTTGCCACTTATTTTGGCACAATTGCAACAGGACTCCCGATTTGTATTTAAAAAAACAACCATGCGCCTGATCTTCCCGTCGCGATGCGCACATCCCATAGCCCCCTCCCCCCCCCCACACGTTTTGTTAGTCTCCAGAACGTTGCGTGTGTATGTTGAACTTCTTTCGCACCGTACGTAGCCAACGCGAGGTGCTGTTTGCACAGAGAGATTGCTCTACAAATCTGAACGCATCCTCTTTTGAAGCCACCTAATTTACACGCATTTTTTTGTTATATATTCATTTACATGTGTATATATGTGTGTGTGGGCTGTATACACTCTACATATGTATACATATAGTAAAAAACAAGCGAAACAAGTCGCTTGCTTGCTACAGTGGCAATGCAGGGAGAGGGAGAGAACAGTGGGCAGAGGAGCGCCGCTCACAACAACGAGCGGAGCGCCGGGCGGATAAAACGCGGCGACTTGGGTGAGCGCAGCTGGTGCCACCTTGCCAGTGGCAACCCCCCCCCACCCCCCCAAAGTCGTTCAACCCGTAGCGCCGCCTGGGTTCAGTCTCGTGCCCCCCCCCCCCACCGTGCCTTCCGGACACGTCACGTGGCCTCAGAAGTGCACCTAGCCTGGCACGCAAAGCGAGGCGGTGACGTCGCCGGCACTTCGTGGAGTCATTGGCTCCGCGCCCAGAGTTTGCAGCTCCGCTGATCAGCGGGTTCGAATTCGATCTCCCGACACCGCGTAGTTGAAGGTGGTTGTCTCACCCTCCCCCCGTCACTCGTATGGTCGCCTGTGCCCATCTAACGGCGGTGTTTATGAATGGGCCCGCCGCAGTGGTTGAGGGCAGTGCTGGGATGATCCTAGTAGCACAAGTAGCTACTACATATTTAGCAACTAAATATGTAGTAGCTACACATGTAGTAGTTATACATGTAGTAGTAGCTACGGGCCCCGCCCTTTCAAGGGCCCCCGCGCTAAATGCTTTCAAGCTATAAATTCCGGTTCAGTGATTCTGCACTTGCTATATTACTATAGTACTATACCGCCTTCAACTTTTACAAACGACTGGGTGTTTAAGGTTAGCGATTAGTTGTATTATCTGGCTGTATAGGGAATGAAAAAATACAATTACTTCACTCTGCAAGTAAAAAAAAGACATTTTAATATTTACGTGTTTTTTTTATTTAGGGCCCCTTTATAACATATGTTACAGGCCCCGCACCAGCTTAATCCGGCACTGGTTGTGGGTCGATTGGCCGTGGGACCACAGTGAGAAATCACCGGCGTGTGGCCTGCACAGAGGTCGCAAACGGGTTTTGATTCCTTACCCGTACCCGGCCGCACCAGGGTCGCAAACGGGTACCCGTACCTGTACCCCCGGGTACGGGTACCCGTTCCCTACCCGTACCCTACCCGAAATGAGTGACAAACGGTTACTCACCAGTGACTCACGGCCTACCCGTACCCGTACCCGGCCGCATCAGGGTCGCAAACGGCTACCCGTACCCGGCCGGGTACGGGTAGCCGGGTATCGGGTAGGG